AAGTTTATAGGGGGTCACTACTCCCCGTCTTTCCACTTCGAAATTGACAATTAAAATGAAGCAAGTCTTCTAGAGACTAGAACACAAATAAGTCGAAAAATTTACTAGTCACAAACAAACGTGGAATCAATGAAGATATCTCACGCCCAAAATCAATTCTATGATTATTTTTAGCCCTAAGAAAATTCGAGTTTATGAAGATGGAATAGTTTCGTAGCTCATTTTAGCACAATCCATTGTCATAACTATGATCTTCTCACTAGCTTGATAGTGTGGGTTCCTTCATTTTGAATAATTTCAAAATATGGGGTTAAATTTGAAAAGCTAACAGTAATCTAAATTGCTAATCATTATGAATTTTAGTGATTTATCTCATAATTAGCTATTAATTATTGACAGATTATGATAATAACATGCATTTGGGATAATTTTGAAATGATTGAATAATGTAAAAAAGGTTTATTGATTTAAAGAGTTCGAAACTCACGAAGACACGAACTTTAAGAAAAATCTTATTTAAGAAGAAAGGAGTTAGAAAAACTAATCAATATTATAAATGAAAATTGTAAAATTAATTATAATGAATAAAAGTACCATTTAATTTTGGTTGATGGGATTGATTTTCTTTATTTGGCCATGCTTTATAAATATCCCATTTCTCCTTTTTGGGGCAAAAATAAAGCTCCACGAAAAGAGAGGAAAAAAAAGCTTTATCAAAAAGAAAAAAAAAGATAGTCATATTTAGCTTTCTTTTTTATCTAATGTTAATTTAAAAAAAAATCAATTTTTCTTTTTAATTGATCGACCCTTCAAAATTCAAAACATTGGATAGGGAGATACTAAAAAATATGTTTCGAGGTTTTATCCAATGATCATTAGAGGTTATGCTAATTTTAAATATGCATCAAACGGTTATTCTAGACAGTTTTATTCAATAATTTTTTCCGGTGAGAGATGAATAACATATAATTTGTTATTATATTTTAAAAAATTCATATTTACCTCTTTTTAAGAAAAAGGGAAAAAAAGTGATAAAAATAAATGTTGTTGGAGTCGCAATCTATCTGTAAAGTCAATTTAAAACAAAACCCATTGGATCACGAAATCGAGTTGGGCCCACTATTTAGTGGGCCTTTAATGTTTTGCGTTGGGGAAGTGGGCCCTCTCCCTCATAAAAAAGTATATTTTTTTATAAAAGAAAAAAAAATAAAATTATTTTAAAGGGTTTTATGAGTGATTTTATGAGTTTGCTTAAGGGAAAAGACAAATTTTCTTTTGTGTAAAAAATGCCAAAAATGTTTGAGATTCTTTCCTACTTTTCTCGTGTGCATTTCCAATCCATCCCTTGAAAAAGCTGAAATTAGAAAACTAAAAAAACAAAAAAAAGGGGAAATCCGATAAATATCACGTTAATTTCTTTTAGTACAATATATAGGGGTGAGGATTTGAACTCACGACTTTTTTATCAAAAATATGTGTCGTAACCAGTTAAGCTATGCTCAGATTGACAATATCACGTTAAATTACGAACTTAACTTTGAAAGCTATATCTATTTAATCTATAGACTTCAAAAAAAATTTATTTGTGTTCTTAAACTTTTTATTTTGATTCGTATAAATATATGTGACATATTGATTATACTAACGAATAATCATTCTGCATAACATGACAACCGGTTATATAAAGAAGGAAATGAACTAGATAAGATAAGATTTGGTAGACCCAAAAAAATTAGTTAAAAATGTATTATGTTTGTTCGTTCTATCTCAGGTTTTAACTTTTCTACCTTTGTTTGATCTAATTGACATACTCTCTCTTGTCACGTTTTGTTAAATTATTACTTGTTGACCTAATCAACAGGTTACGTTGGAGTGATACTTACAAAATGCATAATAAATATTTAAAATAAATTTAAGATAAAATTTTGAATATTTAATTTTTTTTAATTATGTTTACCTAAAACATCATTTTTTTTAATTTAGAATTTTTAAGAATAAAAAAAAATTAATTAACAAACATATTCTATTTTCTTTTTAATTAAAAAAATAAGAAACAATTATCACTATTTCGTTTAAAAAAATGCAGTTACTATTTTTATTTATTATAAAAAATAAAATTAAAAATAGAAAACGAAAATATTACCGAATGAATAAGAAAAAGAAAATGCCACCTCAAAATTACAAATTAATGGCTAAGATTAATTTAATAATTTACTTATTTATGGCACGTTCCTCCATGCGTAATTACTTACTTGTATTACACGTATTTTGTGATTTTTTAAAAACAAAAAAATGTTTTTATAAGTATTTGTGAGATTTTCAAACTTCAAAGTTTGATTCTTACATGGTTGAACATTTCTTTTTCAGAGTCTCTTCATTATCTAAATTTGAATTTAGAGTTTTGAAATTTTAATCTCAACAAAATTTGAAAACTTTCTCACCAAAAAAAAAAAAAAACGTTTTATCTTTTTAAACCAAATGCTTAACATAAATTCTCGTGCACTTTTCCTTCTAATATATACTTCATAGCATAGTAAATATTATCTTTTACAAATATAGATTAAAGAGCGCAATTAAAATAAAATAAAATCTATACTATGTTTGATACAATTTTGATTTTGATACTTCGTGATATCTTAGTCAAATTCTATTTTCTTATAATATGACTTTTTAGTTCAACAAATATAAGATGGAAATTTGAACTTTCGACCTTGTGAGAATGAATAAAATAAATGTACAATAATCATGAATATATAATCGCTAAATCATGTTCATTTCAGTTATCGAATATGCTTTCATCTTCTTAACTCATTTATATTGTATGAATTCGTTGTTGCTAATTTTTTAAATATCTTTCTTGAGAGCGAAGGGTAAATCTCTCCCTCGCTCCTAAGTTATACTTAAAAAAAAGGGTAAACTAGATGGCTTAGTTGGGAGATTTGTTATCTACCTATCTGTTGAACGTCTATTTCATTTAGATAAAAGAATTTTTTTAGTACAATAGCGTCTTCGAATCCATTATCTTTTGGTCGGGCATATATACATGAATGAGTTGAGCTAGGCTCAAAATTGGCTCTTTGGTATAAATGCAATCAATTTATCACTTTTTTTTTCTTTTGTTGATTTTCAATCATTGGATTAAGAATTTTAGTGATACGTAAACTAGGTTCTAACTAATCGATTAAAATTCTAACTATAGTTGATTTACAATTATTGAATTAAGAATTTTAACGATCAAGTCAGCAGTGATATGAAAAGGTAAAATGATTTTTTCTGGAGAAATCATTTTAACGATAAAGTCATATATTTATAGGTTTGAGGTCAACCAATATGATATGAAGAGTTTTTTCCATAGTATTACAAAAAAAATCCACAAATATATATGAAAAATAGCAACAAAATATCATTAATATTAATCATTTTTAACTAAATAATGTGAACGATTTATTTGTTAATTTAAAAAAATTGTTATTAAATTTTTTTATAATTTTTTAGAAAATAATCATCGACATTTATATTTTATTTTCCATCAGCATTTTCATAAAATTGAGACCTCGTAATATCATTTAAAATCTTGAATAGGAGATTCTGAGTTAGTCTGAGTGTAAGAACTAAACCAACCCAATCCTAAAGTTCATAAACTAAAATTTATAATTTAAAGGGATAAATTAAGAATAAAAATGAATGTTTTTATAATTTTTAAGTGACATTTTTAACTTTTAAAAAATGAATGGACAATGGCCCTTTTCTCTTTAATGTAGCACCACCCCTTTTCAAGTAGATTATCATATCAAAAGTTCACATTTTTTATTACCAAATAAATAAATGGTTTAAATTCTCTCTATTTTTTTACCTCAATTCATTTTAATTTTTATACTTTCGAAACGTCAATTTTGATCCATCTAATTTTAAAAAGTGACCATTTTAGTCCTACATTATTATTTTCATCTCATTTTTTTGGACAATAATTTTAACATGATACTTCATTCACTAAATTTCTTGAAATTTAATAATCAATTTAAATTAAAGAATTTCTACGGTGTATAAAATTATGATAAAATTTTGTAAATATAAACCAAATTGGTCACTTTTTAAAAGTAACCAAAACGAACGTTTTAAACAAATATTAAAATAAACAAAGTTAAAAGTAGATTGACAAAAATAAATATTTTGAAATCACGATCACTTAAATAAACCAAAGTTAAAAATTTACGCAGTGAAATAGTGTTTAAACTTAAATAAAATAGAAATAAAACCCATAAATAATTAATAAATTATCTTAAAAAGAAAATAGAAGAGAGAGAGAATGTCAATGATAATTGCAAGAATGGGATTTGGGTTGAGAACAGTTGAGCAGATGAAGTCAGCCACATGTATTTTGGATAGCCATCCCAATCTTTTTCTTTGGCATTTTTCAATCTCTTTTTTTAATATATTTCTAAAACAACTCTATTTTTTAATAACAATATTCCTCTATTTATTTTTTATTAAATATCAGTTTACTATCTAAATTATCTTTTTTCTAACATTATATTTTAATCACTACACTTTCAAATTTTATCTACTGATGCATGTACTTTTTTTTCCCTTAAGAACAACATGCAAAGGTTAGGATTTGAACTCACCACCATAATCATAGATTAATACATTAACTAATTGATTTATGTTCAATTTATATTCAGGTTGAGATCTTGATTTCATACTTTAAGAAGGTGACTGTCCTAATTTCTATGTTATCGATATTTTAACGCAACACTAAATTGAGTAAAGTTTTTAAAGTATATTGATAATTTTATATTAGTAATTTTTTGTTGGATACATAATTTGTGTTGAAATTTAAAAAATAAGGACTAAAACGATAATTTTTTCAAACTACATACATCAAAATGGGAATTTTAAGATAGGATTTAAACCTTTTTTTTTTCTCTTTTTTTAATTTCCTCCATTCATAAATTAATGATTTATGGATGAAGAAGAAGAACAATATGCTCTGCTCCGCTAAGCCACCGTTGGTTACAGCTGTTTCCACGATTTCTCTCTCTCTCTCTCTCAGTCTCTCGCTTTTTCGTCCACTGCCCACTATTCTTCTGTTCTTTCCAAGCCAACAGGGACGTTCAAACTTGAAATCAGAGTAAAAAATCTTACAAAAATTTCCCCCTTCTCTTCCTTTTCTTTATTGGGTTTTGGCAAAATTTACCTCAATTTTATCGCAACTCCTCTAATTTTTCTTGTTTCTTCTGAAAATCAAGGGGGCAGTACTTTGTAGTTGGTCCAGATATTACCCCCCCATCTCTTTCTTTAAGCTGTGGAACTGTTCGGTTCGTGAGGAAATTAAAAAAAAGCAAAAACCCCCCTAAATTTCTCCGTCTATTTCGTGACAAATAATGCAGATTTCAGAGAGGAAGGGTATAAACTTATTGTCTTCCCGATTAGAGAGAGAGGGAGGAATTTCCTTTTCTGGGTTGGGTTTGATTTTGGGCCTCGTGATCTGTGAAGTCTCTGTGTGACATCCAAGACTCTTGTAGAGGCATCGGGATTGGGTTTTTTTTGGGTCATTATTAGATCTATCTGTGTTTAGTTGTTCGACTCGAGAAATCCTTCTCCAGAAACATTCATCCTTCCACATTTAGAGAGAGGAGAAAAGGGATTCATCATCGTCTACTTGAAGGTGGAAATTGATACTGATTTTGGTATTTCGGGAAATGTTGCTGTTCTTCTTCTTCAGGAATTGTGGCTCCTCTGCTTTCTGTGGAGTACTGCAGTACTGGTTCTACTTAGCTACTAATCACAAGGTGAAATTGAACTGAAAGTCGTTTGCAATTTGAAATTTTCTTTGGGTTTCATTTTGGGTTTGGTTTTCTCTTGGGATTTGTTCATCTTTTTGTTGCTTTGACTCAGCTTTAAAAATATTCTGATGAATGTTTTTTTGTGGGTTGCTTTGCTTGTGAAGAATATTAGGTGGGTTTCGTGTTGATGACTGTGAATTTGGCTCTGTTCAGTTGATTTTTGCTTCAGTGAGTCCTTTGAGTGGATGGATGGACGATTCACTCATATGTTTGCTTTGCTTGTGTTCTTCCCAAATGAATTTGTTTGTGTTATGTTCTTCTTCGTTTTCTTCTTTGTTTATCATCAATTACCTATAATAGTTTCAAGTGGCAGTAAATTTATGAGCAAGTTTCTAGAAGAGAAGCTTAGTTCTGAAGTTCTTAGTTTTAGACTTGTTTACTTATATATATATATATATTTTTTTTTTCTTTTTGGTTTTGTTTTTCAACTTTCAAAAAACACTTTTGAGTTCTAAACTGTACTTGAAAAACAAAAAGTAGAAATGCAAAGATTCCTGTCTTTTGTTTTAAAAGTTTGGCTAATATTAAAGCATTTATAAAAAGTGGATTACAAAACAAAGAAATTGTGAGTAATAAGGTTTAAAGTAGAAAAGTAAATAGAAAATCGAATAGTGTTATCAAACAAGTAGTTTGATTTTGATTCTTATTAAGTGAACTAAAACTTGAAGATTGGACATAATTACTTTTTACATTCTGGTACTTCATCATAAGTGATCAGTGAAGCAAAAAAGAAAACAAGTGGATGGATCAATATCAATTCTCGAGGACTAACCTTTATTATAGAACACATATTTAAAAACTTGTTTGAAAACCTGATGAAGCTGAGGAATGTCAGATATTCTTGAAAAGAAATTTTCTTGATTTTGTGTTATTGAGTTCACTAACCACATCTTAGAAACAGCAGAAATGCAAGAAAGTGTAAAATTCAGTACAACATTAGTAAGGGATGATAATGTTATAAGACTTTTCCTCTCAAAGAGGTGAGGCGTAAGCCCCTATTTTAATTTAAAGAATTATACAAATCCTAAATTTGTGCAATCAAGTATTGCTAAACATAGTAGTTTTATAAAAGTATAAAAAAGCCACCCCTATCAATTGCCACTTATATAAAAAATTCTAGGACATGTTAGACCTCACTTCTATTATTACTAATAGGATTGACTTATTCTTTAAATTTTTGTCTTCCAACGTTGTTTGAGCCTATGTAGTTAATAGTAATAGAAGATTGAATTGTCACAGCTCATGTATTAACCTTACATACACAAAGCCTTTATATTTTCTAAGAATTTGGCAAATTAAATTTATTCTTCTAATCATTTGTGAGGTGTGGAGACTGAACCTCAGTACATTTTCATGGAGGCGTAAGCCTCTTGTTGTCCAAAGAAGGCATAAGTCTCGAGGCTAAAAGTTAGAACCTTGCCTCAAAGCGAGCCTCAAAATCAGCTCAGATTGGGGATGAGTCGATGATTCTGAAGTATTAGTGGCTTGAACCAAACCGATTTTGGACTTGGTTCGTTTTGATCTTTAACCTAGAAGTTAATTTAATATGCTTTTTTTCCTCTTAAAAGTGTTCTCCTCAATGTCATTGAGGTTTGGACTCAAGAATCTCCATGCTAACAGGCTGTTTAATGTTCCAAAGATTGTTATTTAATGGGTTTAAGAATCTTACTTTCCTAGTGTTAAAGCATTTCTTATTCTCTACTATCATTGTTATTTTGTGATTTCAAACATAACAAAAAAGCTGGTTCGGGTTTCAGATGATTCATTCGATACATCGAGTTCTTATAACAGATTTATTCAATGTCGAAGTGGAAATTGGCATTGGATCTCAAAGATCAGCTTACTCTCTGTGATTCTATGATTTATGTAGTTTAAAGTTTTCCCTTTTGATCCAATGTTATGACTTGAAAATTTATGGCAGTTCTTGTCTTGTCCTTTATATGTCATCAAAAGCCATGAAAACACTCCTGATAACATTACAAAATGTAGGATTATCAAGAAATAGTCAACTTATTTTTGTTGCTGATAGTTTCTTTGCTGTTGGTTCAGGATACTTGAGTTCGTTGAAATATAAACGATCTATCGAATGGACAAAAAATTGTGACCGAAATGAATCCGCAGGCTTTTATTAGGTTGTCGATTGGCTCGCTGGGATTGAGAGTCCCGGGAGATTCTCTAAACTCTACAAAACCTGGAATCAATTCTTTCTCTTCTCCGTGCTCATGCGAAATTCGTCTTCGAGGTTTCCCCGTGCAGTCATCTTCAATTCCCATACTCCCGTCTCCCGAAGCCATACCTGAGTCTCATAGCATTGCCTCAAGCTTCTATCTTGAGGAGTCTGATCTTAAAGCATTACTTGCACCTGGCTGCTTCTACAACACTCATGCCTGTCTTGAAATATCTGTGTTCTCTGGAAGGAAAGGATCCCACTGTGGTGTTGGCATCAAAAGGCAGCTGATTGGGACGTTTAAGCTGGATGTCGGTCCCGAATGGGGCGATGGGAAGCCGGTCATTCTTTTCAATGGGTGGATAGGCATTGGCAAAAGTAAGAATGAGAATGGAAGGCATGGTGCAGAGCTTCATTTGAAAGTGAAACTGGATCCAGATCCAAGATATGTTTTCCAGTTTGAAGACGTCACGAGGCTAAGTCCACAAATCGTCCAGCTTCAAGGCTCGATCAAACAGCCGATCTTCAGCTGCAAATTTAGTCGAGACAGGTGATGCAACTGTTAAAAACTGTGTATTTTTGCAGTATAAAGAAAAACAAAGCATTTTTTTGGCCAATGCTTTGTTTTTCTTAATGTGGATTCAATGTTTTGACAGTTGAAATGAATCAATAGGGTGTCCCAGGCGGATTCATTGAGCAACTATTGGTCAGGTTCGGCCGATGGCCTCGATCTTGAGGCCGAGAGAAGAGAAAGAAAAGGCTGGAAGGTGAAGATACATGATCTTTCTGGCTCGGCTGTTGCAGCAGCCTTCATAACTACTCCCTTTGTGCCATCAACAGGTTGCGATTGGGTTGCCAGGTCGAGCCCCGGGTCCTGGCTGATTGTTCGTCCCGATGTTTGCATACCTGAAAGTTGGCAGCCATGGGGAAAGCTTGAGGCGTGGCGCGAGCGTGGAATTAGAGACACCGTCTGCTGTCGCTTCCACCTTCTCTCCGAAGCGCAGGAGGGAGGTGAACTTCTCATGTCTGAGATCCACATCAACGCCGAGAAAGGTGGGGAGTTCTTCATTGACACCGATAAACAGCTACGAGCTGCAGCAAGTCCAATACCAAG